CTCTCTCTCTTCCTTATCTGTATTATCGCGAATCTTATCGCTCGTGTGTTAGAGGGATCAAACGATCCCGAGAAATAAATCCCGATGCAAATTTACACATTTGCCTGTGATCTCATGCTGCAGGATGCCAGGAAAGCGGCATGCGACACGACCTTGGCCCAGGCTACATCGGGCATGGAACCTATTGGTCGCATACAAATGCGAACGAGACGTACGCTTCGCGGTCACTTAGCTAAAATTTATGCGATGCACTGGGGAAGTGACTCGAGGTATGACGACAAATGTTAATACGATGATGATATGATGATGATTAATATCCGTCTCTGTTGGTTATTTTAGATAAAATTTCATTAGCATAAAATTTCAATAGAATTTCGAAATGAAGAAATTTGAGAATGTAGAAAAGTACAGATTTATAGATACGAATAGATCTTCATTTTTTTATTTTACTTAGGCTTTAAAATTTGATAGTCATGCAAAATTAATAGAGAAGTAGAAAAGTTGTTCTTATCGTGTTAAGTTTTTGTTAGCACACGTAATTTTTGCTTTTCATGCATAGGAACCTAGTCTCCGCATCGCAAGATGGCAAACTAATTGTTTGGGATAGTTACACTACCAATAAGGTTCACGCGATCCCATTACGGTCATCATGGGTAATGACTTGTGCGTACGCACCCTCGGGTAGTTATGTAGCGTGCGGTGGGCTGGACAATATCTGTTCCATCTATAGTCTTAAAACTAGGGAAGGGAATGTGCGAGTGAGCAGAGAACTTCCGGGTCACACTGGATACTTGTCCTGCTGTCGATTCTACGATGACAACCAAATCGTCACCAGTTCCGGCGACATGTCTTGGTAAGTACTTGAAGATCTATGACGATCGAAAGTTGCTACGATAAAAAAATCCTATATCCCCTATATTCTAACTTCGCAAGAATGAAAGAAGTATAAATATACAAACTACACGAAATAAAGTTGATGTTCTTTTCTATATTTGTTTCTTGAATTTTCTACTTTGGAAGAAAAAAAATTTTAATCCACATTTTTTACTACATTTTGTGTGTAAATGAAATGCAATATAGCAAAGATTTAATGAAATTATATTGAAAATGAAGAATCTCCCCTATCGCTTTCATAGATTCTGATGAACATTCTTGAAAATTAGCGCAAACTAGAATGCTGAATTGTTCTGACACAGTGCTTTATGGGATATCGAAACCGGTCAGCAGTGTACCTCGTTCATCGGGCATACCGGTGATGTGATGTCTCTATCGTTGGCGCCGGATACACGCACCTTCGTGTCCGGTGCGTGCGACGCCAGTGCAAAATTATGGGACATCCGCGAAGGCTCTTGTAAGCAGACCTTCCCGGGTCACGAAAGTGACATAAACGCCGTCACGGTGAGATATTACGTTAAGAAATGAAGAGTTATTTTTCTGTATTATTAACTTATTTTCAAGAAAGTTTTTAGTTCGGAATTAACGATTGACAATTTGGATCTATTACTTATAGTTCTTCCCGAATGGATACGCTTTCGCGACGGGATCGGATGATGCGACCTGCAGACTTTTCGACATTAGGGCAGACCAGGAACTCGCGATGTACAGTCACGACAATATCATTTGCGGAATTACCAGTGTAGCTTTCAGCAAGAGCGGTAGATTATTGCTGGCGGGTTACGATGATTTCAACTGCAACGTTTGGGATTCTATGAAGACAGAGCGAGCTGGTACGTTGGCAGAACTTGGCAAACGATCGTCCCCTCAAGAGAGAAGAGAAATTTTATTCGAGGCCCTTCTCTCGATAATCGTTTTACTTTTGAGTTCATCCTTTAAGTTAAATTATTAGAATGCGAATTATGTTTTTTCTACTATTTTATTAAAAAAATATTTGCTATAATTTTGTTTCCTAGGAATTCTCGCTGGGCATGACAATCGCGTGTCTTGCCTCGGTGTCACGGAAGATGGCATGGCGGTGGCGACGGGCTCATGGGATTCGTTCTTACGCATTTGGAACTAACTTGGGGCTCTTCCCAGGACGTTCATTCAAAGAACCAATTACAGTCAACGTACAGCATACAGCATCAGAATCAAGTACCATCATCTGACCACTGAGCAAGTGGGCGTGCCAGCAGCCACGACGCTGGCGAACAATCCGCCAAGTTCACCGGAGTTGACGCTGATCAGAAACTTTGGATGTCGGATTAGCAGCAGTAGCAACAGCAGCAACGGCAGTAGCAACAGCAGCAACAATAACAATTACGATCGTATGAAGAACCACGATAACAACGGCGGCGATTTTAAAAACGTTTTGGGTTGTGATGGTAAAAAAGATTCCCGCGGCAAGCGCATCGTAGTCGATTTGACCTGGCGACGCAGTAAAGTTGGCGACAAGGACCACGAATATCAACGCTTCTAGAAGAATTGGCTCGAATTGGTTGAATATGAAGATACATCGTGGCGAAGAATAAGACATAAGAATAGAGAACGCAAACGCCACTGACAAGGCCGAAGTTGAGAATTTTCTGCGACTTTCTTTTTATCCCCCTTTTCTCAAGGACTTTTTTCGCGAACCTTCGAGAGACACGTGCTGTTTCATGGCTTAATAATTTTTTTCCCATGGGAGTGCTCTCAGGCGAGAATTTCCAAATTTGAAGGACGGACGACAATCTCACGCCGACGATCGTCAAGAGATTTCCATCTCGATTCAAGGTTCAAGCGTTCACTGCCGAGGAGATGCTGTTAATGGTTGCTCCGGCGGTTAGCTACAGATTACTTTTCCATGCGCGAAACGAGATCGAGCATGATACGATAGATACATAATCGTAATATTGCGTCGTGACTCAGAAACGAGAGACAGCACAGCCAAGTTCGTAATAGTCCCATAATGACATGTTCAAATTTATGCGGTGCATATTGAACGCACACGTATATCGATGGAGATTCACGACGCGAATTGCATACACCTGCACGCGAAAACAGAAGGATGATGCGGATCGTCCAAAAGCCTCGAAACACATCCAAATCGCACATACTCGTCACGTGAGCTTTGCCCTCGTGCACGAGCACCGAGTGGTCGAGCGGAAAAAAAAAATATATATATATGAGATGAAATGAAATGAAATGAAATGAAATGAAATGAGATGAGATGATCACCTTTCTTACCATGATAAAATATGCCGATTCGCACCACTACAACTATTACTATTATTACTATTACTAGCACCACGACCCTCTCCATTGATTTCGTAGATGTATCGTTATTTATTTTGTATAGACCTCTGCCATAGGCCGCCCTGCGTCTGCGTTTTTTTGCGAGTGCGAGAGCGATTGTATCATAAAAGAGAACGAACGAGAGAGCTGCGAATGAGCGTGAAAATGCGAGCGAGAGGCGCGCGGCCCATTGTCAATCAAAAAAGAAAAAAAAACGAGACACGAGACGCGCGGATACACGCTGATGAACACTGAACACAGAGTTGCTCCTTCGATAAATAATTCGGTTCATCGAGACGTTGACGTCGCGGAAGAATTATGAAAAGACGAGGAGCGACGCATCAGAAAGATCGAGGGAGAGAGCAGACCGAGTTTTATCTGCTTTTGCGTCGCAAACGCGTTACGAACGCGTGAAATTACGGGCCAGCGTAAAGTGTCGAGTACGTTTAATGTAATGTGTAATCGTTTAGTTCACATAGTGTCTATACCTTAGCCTTTTCTCCTCGCCCTCTGTCCAATTATTATCTGATTACGGCGAGAAGGAGAAGAAGAATTAATCCGATTGTCATCTGGGCGGTATCTTTTCCCCATTGTCGATTCAATGCCAATCAATCCTCGTGCACGAGGCGAGCACGTGCTCTCGATTGAAAGAGTCGTGCTAAAAGTACCTTTGAAATAGGACCCAAAGAATCCCAGGTTAATAGAATGGGCCGTCAGACTAAACTCTCTCTCCCTCCTATCATTGTTAACTTTTCTTTAATACCTTTTCTTCTCTTATCGTATTTTGTTTGTTACGGCCTCTTTTGGCAAATATGTAAGTACGCATTTTTTTAATAGGTCTTTTTTTTTATAACTTATGCTCCATATTCTTCTCTTTTACATTATCTCTTTCCTTTTCTTTCCTTCCTTCCATTCTTACCTCTTCTGTCCTTTTTCTGTCTGAAATAAATGTTGAAACTGTGTATGCATTTAAAATAATAATATTAATGATAATGATTATACTATTAATATTAACGATTATCGTAATTTATAATTATTAATATTTAATATATAAGTACATAAGATCGATGGTTTTTCTTAATAAACGCTGATTCATGGTCCAATCGCATTCCGGCAACCACGTTCATAATAAACATCCTTTTCTTTTTCGATTTCTTTTTAAGAATTTTGCATATTTAATATATATATATATATATATATATATATATATATATAT